CTCTTCGCTACTTTCTTGCTCGTGAGCTACAGCAGCGTGGACAGCTGCGACTTGCGTACGTGGCCTCTGAGGCCAACACTGCTGATGTCTTCACCAAGGCACTTGCGCCTTGTGATCATCAGCGTTGCTGCACGCAGTTGGGTCTTGTGCCTGTCTTGCCTCACTTGCTCTCCTCTTGACCTTGCTTGTACTTTCGCATATATATACTCTTGCTCTTGTATATCTCTATATATGATCTTGCATGTGAACTGGCCTTGTGGCCTTTGAACTTGTGCTCGGAATGCGTGGTGACTTTGTGATCCACCCTGAGCTTTGCTTTGCTTTGCTTGACCGGTCTTGTGACCCCTTGTTCTCCCCCACTTTGCCTATGGGGGTGTGTCAGAACTTATAGCTTACTTGTTTCTGTAGGCTATAGTGGGGTATCCCATAGGGGGTACAACCCAATTAGGGTTTCCTATTTGTACTCACTTCGTTCATAGTCATTTCACTTCTCGTTCGTACTTCCACAGATCAGCCTAACTTACTACAAGGGCGAAGCCACGGCGACGAAACTAATCGGCTACGTCGATGCTGACCATGCCGGCGATTCCGATAACAGGCGTTCTCGCACCGGCTACGTCTATCGTCTCGAGCCTATCGGGCCTATCTCCTGGCAGTCGAGTAAGCAGGAACTAATCGCTCTCTCTTCAGCTGAAGCAGAATATATCGCCCTCTGCTCAGCCAACAAGGAAGGACTCTACCTTCGCGAGCTACTGGAAGAAGCAAAGTTAGCCGAGTTACCCAACTTCACCCTGTTCTGCGACAACCAATCTGCAATTCGCATCGCCAAAAAAAGCGGATTCGCGAACAGAACGAAGCATATCGCTCTGCGATACTTCTTCGTAAAGGACGAGATCGAGAAAGGGAAACTCGAATTATCCTACTGTCCCACGTCCGAGATGGCAGCCGATTATTTGAGTATTGCATGCTGCTGACTGGACAAGGCCACGTCACCATCAGCGACACTCCAGAAGCGAAGGGGAGTGTTGGGGACAGTAAGTCTTAAGGCGCCTCTGTCGTGTCGAAACTCAGGACACTAGCGAAGCAGTCCGAATCGAAGCATCGCGAGTCAACCCTCGGAGGTTAGGGTAACCGCCTGGAGGTTACGGGAAAGTCAAAGGTCAGCGACCTTTGACTCGACAATTACAGCGCGACAGCAAGGACACACAACTGACTCGACATTGAGCAGTTGCCCGAGTCGCACTGTACCGAATCGCAACAGTAAAATGGTTTTAAATCTATCTATTCGTATTCTTTGTACTCTTATATAAACCTTGTATTTGCTTGTTTAATTTAACTTACTTTGCCCTCATACACTAGCGCAAGGTGGTTCAATCACTCTTCATTTCAACGCTTCCGCTATTACAATCCTACTCAGTCCTCAAACTCTACAAAGATCCTAGGGCTTCTCAGCCCAACAATTGTCACCCTTGAAACTTCAAGTGAATTTCCAGAACTTGCTCCAGGTCTTTTATCTGGGAAAATACGCTGTACATCCAAGTTCGCCTTTTAAAAAATTGTCCATAACATGTAAGCCTAAACTTCAATGAAAATCTTACTCTTCGGTATGCAAGACACAAGGTGGGGGGCAGGAGTGGTGGTAAGAGAGGATTTTGGACCTGGAAATGAGGGTTTTAGAGGTACCGTATGTGGGGATGAGATGGGATGGGATGGGAGCAGAGGGGATCGAATAGAAGGGAAAGGAGGTTTGATGCACAGGGTAGCTTAGTTGTGATCGAAGGCAAGGAATTACGCAAATCTAAAGGTGAGGCAAGCAAAGCAAACGGATGGAGGGAAGGGAGGATTAGCGACGACAGGAGAGGATGGAAGGCAGGGGCAGGACCACGCCAAGCTTAAGTGTAAATGACTCCTCTCAGGACCATGAGGGAGGCAGGGTGCAAGGATGGAAACAGGGTACGGTAGCATGGATTGGAAGCAATAAGGAATGCAAGAGAATGAGAGACGAATGCACCCTGTTGTAAGCACACATGCACCCTTTTGTATCTCACTTTCTCCGTCTGCCTCCAAGTCCTCTCACTTTGACCACCTCCCCCCCTGCGCGCCATCCTGAAGTGGCCCAGTCAAGTAGAATGGGACTTCTGAATGACAGGTTGCGGGATCAAACCCCAGTGCCGGCGAGATCCGCCAGCCCCCCAGAAGGGGGTTTCGCACTGCTCATCTGGGAGTGGATATATCATGTAAACAAGTGGGTAGGAGGATTATGATCGACAACCGAGGGTAATCCAAAGGGGGATTTCCCCCCTCCTTCACCTTGCGCAGCCAGCCCCTCCTACCCCAGGCAACTGCAACTTCTTCACAACAGCTTCAGCCACCCACACCAGCAAGCGCAGCTGCCAGGGTAAATACCCACTGCCCCTGAACCAGCACAAGGACTTTATATCACAGTGCAGAGTATAAGGTACATGTGCTGTCCAAGAAAAGGGGCAAACCCGTTTATTAATGAAGGGGAAATTTACACAAAATCAGGGCCAGCGGCTGGCTGTACCACAGAAGGAAAGAAAAGAGGGAAGAAAAAAACTGCATTTCTTTAGGAAGGGTTCCGCGGCTCTCAATAGACGATGCGCGCCTCCTCCTGGTCGAACTCGACGGAGCCCGCGTCTACGGGGCGCATGAGGTACATGGCGAGCAGCTCGCCCACAAACGCCGCCTGCAGCGGCAGCTTCTGCATGCGCCGCAGCAGCTCGGGCGCGGACTGGTTTGCATCAACGGCGATGATGCTCTCGTGGAGGCGAACAAGGTGATCCAGCTTGCGCTCGAACTCGGGGTTATCGACGTCGAGCACGGCGGGGAAGATGCGCGCCGACGTGCGGTTCGTCTCCTTGATCACGTGCAGGTCGAACTGCTTCACGTCCAGCCCCAGGTTGCGGTAGAAGGCGCCGCGCTGGTGGTCGTTGAGATACATGGTCACGTACACGGAGAGGCAGAAGAAGCGCGCCCACAGCTTCGAGTCCCACGCCGTCAGGAACTTGGGGTAGCACTTGAGCATGGCCGTGATGAAGTCGCCGTGCCGGTTCTCGTCCTGGCACCAGTTCTCGAACTTGCCGAAGATCGGGTAGCACGCGAACTCAGGGTTCGCCATGAGGTGGCGGCAGATGGTGATGTAGCGCCAGTAGCCGATCTTCTCCGAGAGGAACGTGGCGTAGAGGATGTACTGCGGCTTGAAGAAGGTGTACTTGCGCGCCTTGGTCAGGAACCCCAGGTCCAGCGACAGGTTGAAGTCCGACAGCGCCTTGTTCAGAAACCCCGCGTGCCGCGCCTCGTCGCGCGACATGAGCGTGAAGATCTCCGCAATGCACGGGTTGGTCTTCTTGAGGCGGCGGCCCAGCTCCTTGTAGAGCAGGAAGCCGGAGAACTCGGCGGTGCAGGAGCGCTCGAGGAACTCCACGAAGATCTCGCGCGCGCGGCCCTGGATCTTGTCGGCCGCCTCCTTGAACTCGGGCGAGCGCACGAAGTGCGTCTGGTTGTAGTCCGCGCGGAACTCCTCCAGACACGCGTCGAACTCCGCCTGGTTCACGTACGGGTTGATCTCGCGGTTGAACAGCTGCAAGGGGCGGAAGCGCGGCGGATCGGGGGGAAGGGGTGGAGATGGAAGGAAAAAGAGAAACAAGAGTGATGAGCTCGTGCATTCTGAACTAGTAAAACGGAGAAGGGAGCAAACAACGCAGATCCATGAAGTTTGCGGGATCGAGGAGAGGTGGTACGGGCGACCGTGAAAAATAGGCGTGACGATACGCCGCGGCGGAGCAGAGGCGAGTGGACGTACCGCTTCCATCTCGTCGAAGTCGGTGGTGTAGAAGCGCGGCGTGAGCAGCGTTTCCTGCGCGGGCTCCTTGGAGCCGTCCCTCGGCTTGTCCTTCCCGGCGGCGACCGCCGCCATCACCACGCGGCTGCTCGACGCGGAGCACCCGAAGCTGTGCTTCACGCTCGGCGCGAACGAGCTCGCAGAGCTCAGCTTGCTGCTGCTGGCCGTCATCGCCGCGGACGGCATTGCCAAGCGCGAGGACACGGACAGGGAAGAAGTGAGGGCCGCCATGGTTGCTGTTTACGGAACGGAAAGTAAACAACAGCTGAAGCTGAAGGCTTGATCAGCAAGCAGAAGAATGTGCTTGCCTTCGTCAGCAACAGTCACTCTTTCCTGCCTGTGTGACGGACGAGAAAGTAAAAGCTGAAAATGTTGATGTGATCGAACGCAAATGACGGGGGTATTTCTAAAATTTCCGTTCTGGGACCTGCCTAGGCAAGCCCAATGCGGGGGAGTCCCGAGGGGGAAAAGTGAGAGGAGTGAGATGTGACGTGGCGCGCCGCGGAATACGAGACGCGCCCACAGGAGGAGCAGATATGACAACGCATGTCGGTTGCTTTTTGGTGATTCGTCAAATTCTCGTGGGCAATCTACGTCTCCTAGGAGTTCTGTGCCAGCGAAGTTGGCGACGAGCCCGTGGAAAGGGGAATTGAAATCCTGGAAGCCGACAGCGCAGCACTCACGGACCACGTGTCCAGGTCCTGGCGTGTGCTTGGATTTCGTCTTTTTAAGAGGGTCTCTATATGACTGAACTACACCGCATACAAATAAGTGTCTCAAATGATAACTTCTAGGTCTTAGCAAACTCCCTAAGGATTTAAATTATCATATATATTCGGTTGAACTACATGATGTATCACAACACTATTTCTCAGTTGGATACTAATACATATGCTATATTTAAAAGGGGAGTAAGCATTAAGTTCAAGATATTGTGTTGTTCCTGGTAATTAACTGCAAGAAGTGCCCAACATTAGTTCTTGTTGGCGATTGGTCTCAATGGGTTTCTGCATCCACCAAAAAAAAAAAAAAAAAAAAAAAAAAAAAAAAAGATACAAACGAAGCAATTACTGGTAAGTCCATCTGCTTATGGGTATCAAAGACTCAAAACCACTCAGAAATGCCAGAAAGTCTGCGCTTACCTGGGAGAGGCAGGCTTCTTCCTTCCGAGCGACATCATCCCACATATCTCCATCTCCCCTTCACTTTCACTCTCACTCCCAAGCAATGCCGCTCGCCTGTTTTTCATCCGCCTCATGGCCGTTCCCCCTCCCTCAGTCACACCCCCTCCATCACTATCACTCCCATCACTGTCACTATCCAATACCGCTCTCCTCTGCCCCCTCCCCCTGCCCTTCCTCTCGCCCACTGGCCTCAAGACAACGTTCTCTATCCCACCATTCCTCTCCTCACTGGCCCCCTGCCTGCCAGGATGTTTCCTCTCCCCAACAGGTCTCAGTGCAACCTGAAACGCCTGGCCCTTGTCAGCCACAACGTCCCCCTCGTCATCCTCCTCCCCTTCTTCCTCCTCCTCGTCCTCCTCATACCCGCCCTCCTCATCCTCCTCGGCTCCTTCCTCCTCACCAACTTCCTCAACATCCATCTCCTCCATCTCGCCCCCTTCCTCTCCTCCCTCACTCCCCTCCTCTTCACTCCCTTCCACTTCACTCCCCTCCTCCTCACCGTCACTTTCTTCCTCAACATCCTCCTCCTCTACCTCCTCTACCTCCTCTACCTCCTCTACCTCCTCTACCTCCTCTACCTCCTCTGCCTCCTCTGCCTCCTCCGCTACCTCTGCTCCTCCTCCTTCCTCTGATTCCTCCGCTTCCTTCAGGGCACTTGCCCGTCTCTGATTACTTCCCCGCCCCCTACGCCCTGCACTCCTCTGCACCACCACCTCCTCCACTTCTTCATCACTCGCTTCTACACTCTCCTCCTCATCCTCCTCTCCACTATCCTCCTCACTGCTACTCCATGCAACCAGGTTCCTCCTCCGCCCACCATCAACTCCCCCAGCCCTCCCACCCTTCATGCTGCTCCTGCTCTTACTCACACTGCTCTTCGCACCACCACCACGGCTGCTCCTCCGCACACTCACGCCCCTCCCTTTGTCCTCTTCTCCCTCTCTCTCCTGAGTACTCACAGCCTCCTTCCCAGCACTTTCTTCCCCCACCTCCTCCACCTCTTCAACCTCCTCACCATCTTCATCCTCACCCTCCTCCATCCCACTATCACACTCCATAAACTCTCCCCCTTCAGCCTCTTCACCAGGACCTTCACTCTCCGCATCCCCAGAACCAGCATCTCCACCATCCCCAGCACCCTCCTCAACAGCCTCCCTAGCAGCAGCCCTGGCAGCGGCTTTGGCAGCCGTTTTAGCAGCCTTGGCAGCAATGGCAGCAGCAGCGGCAGCAGACGCCTCCTCCTCCTCCCTCTTCTCCTCGTGCGTCCTCCCCATCAGCTCCTCGAACTTCTCCAGCTCCTCCCTTAGCTCCGGCTTTGCAAACTTCTTTGCCTGGTGTAAGTGGAGGAATGGGTGGAGGGGATTGGGAAAAAGGGGTTTCTTTTCTTCCCTATTTCAGAGCGTCCTTCATGTCCTTGCAGTTGTCCATCAGCCGCCGTGCACCACAAGAGTCAACTCACCTAGCCACTGGCAGTCCTAATACAACCCAGTCCCACACCCTCACAGCCCACGCACCTTGCCAGTGGCAGTCTTGAGGTACTCCAGCCCAGCAGCGTCCCCCAGGGCGTCCTTCATGTCCTTGTAGTTGCCCATCAGCCGCCGTGCACCGCCACAGCACCAGAGCCAACTCACCAGAAAGTGAAGCAGGGGAGTTAGGGAACTCACGCACCTTGCCAGTGGCAGTCTTGAGGTACTCCAGCACGGCAGCGTCCCCCAGAGCGTCCTTCATGTCCTTGTAGTTGTCCATCAGCCGCCGTGCACCGCGCTCAGAGATCGGCAGCAGGGAGAGGCAGAAGGCCACCATGCGCTGCTGCTGCACCCTCCCGTCCCTGCCACCCCTGCTGCTACCACTGGCACTGCTGGCGCTGCTGCTGCCGCTGGCGTTAGCGCTTGTGTTGGTGTTGATGCCGTCCTCAGAAGCAGCAGTAACAGAGGCTGCATTGTCAGCAGAGGCAGCGGTAGGAACAGCAGACGTAGAATCCCCAGCAGTGGCACTGGCGGCCGCGTCAACAGGAACATCCGCCATAGCAGTTGAAGCAGCAGCAGCAGGGTCAGAAGCAGTAGCAGCAGGAGCAGAAGGAGCACCAGCCGAGGAGGCAGAGGAGGAGGCGGGGTGGGCGTTGGTGAAGCGGTGGCAGAGCTTGTCGATGAGCCCTTCGCGCTGCTTGTCCTTGTCTATGAAGGCGATGAGGAAGCGCAGGATGGCGTGCAGCGAGGGCTCTGAGAGGCGCGGATTCACCGCCATGTGGCTCAGCATGTCCGGGAGGAGATTGTAGACCAGCGAGGAGCCTGGGGGGAGGGAAGGAAGGAAGGGGGTGGAGTGGGATGAGAATGGGTGGAGGTTGGACCTGACAATGACACCCCTCCCTCTGAGAGACGCGGATTCACCGCCATGTGGCTCAGCATGTCGGGCAGGAGATTGTAGACCAGAGAGGAGCCTAGCGAATACAGCATAAGAAGGGACGGTGGGGTGGAAGGGAAAGGATGAAGTGGGGTGGAGGGTGAGCCTGACAATGAGCCCTCAGCCCTGCTCCTTCTGAGAGGCAGTGCGTCCACCGCCAGGTGGCTCAGCACGTCAGAGAGGAGAATGTGGACGTGCGAGGAGCCTGGGGTGAAGAGCATATGGAAGGGACGGGCAGGAGGGAAGAGCGTGGACAGGTGACAGACGCTGATATGGCAGGGTAGGAGTGTACGGGCGGGAGCAACAGAAGCAGCAGAGGAGGAATATGAAGAGACAAGAGCCCTTCTCGCCCTTTTTGGCAAGCTCGTGGAAGAAGAGACGTGCGAGATGACGGACACAGAGCGTAGAGACTGGAGAGAGGAGAGTGAAGAGTGGGGGGTGGAGGGTGGAGGGTGGAGGGTGGAGGGTGGAGGGTGGAGGGCGCGTCTCACCCTTTTTGGAGAGCTCGTGGAAGAAGAGGCGGGCGAGGTCAGCGTTGCGCGGCTCAGGGTCCTCCAGACACACCGCCAGGCTGCTGATGTGGCCCTTCACCTGGCGGTGGGGGAGAGAACAAGGGGGGATGAAAGGGAAGATGAGAATACGAGGGCAAGTGTGGAATGGAAGGGTCCTCCAGACACACCGCCAGGCTGCTGATGTGGCCCTTCACCTGGCGTGGGGGTTGAGGTGGGGGGGAGGGGGGGGGGAAGTGAATGGCGAAGGGAGAAAGGGGAGCGGAAGGAGGGGAAGATGAGTGGAGATATGGGCAGACAGAGGTCCTCCAGACACACTGCCAGGCTGCTGATGTGCCCCTTCACCTGGTACGGGGGGAGAAAGGGGACGGGCAAGGGAGAGAGAAGGGCGGGTGTAAGAGCAGAGCAGATACGGAACAGCAGCATGATTTGACGATGGGGGTGCTGAGTGATAAGTTCTTTGAGACGTCTTAAAACTACGGAACAGCGTCTTCAGCATGACATGATGCCGACGGTGCTGAGTGACACGGAGCACAGTAGAGTATGCGTGGGGTGCCCACGGCTGAGGACTTCAAGGTGACTTTTGAATCGACTCAAAAGTGACTCGGAGCAGAGTAGTGTATGCGTGGGGTGCCCATGGCTGAGGGCTTCATGTGAAGCCATCTAACCAGACCCACCTTCATCACGTCGTTGAGAATGAGGTGAGAGAGCACCAAGAGCGTTGCCTGTCTACCGCCACGCAAAGACGTAACCAAGAACAGAGCATATGAGCCCAACAACTGTGACAACTCACCTTCATCATGTCGTTGGGAATGAGGTGAGAGAGCACCAAGAGCGCCTGTCTTCTCACAAACGCGTCCCCATCGCTGAGAGCGGTGTACGCGTGGGGCGTCCACGGCTGCAGCAGGTTGGGGCAACACAGGGCGAGGCCTCCCAGATACCTGCCTAGGAGCTCTGCTCGAGACCCCTGCCAAGAGATCTGTATCCTACGATAACTTGTCAAACCGCGACCTTCATGTGACGCCCTCAACCCCAAGAACCAGGTCTCACCTTCATCATGTCGTTGAGAATGAGGTGGGAGAGGACCAGCACCGCCTGCCGCCTCACAAAGGCGTCCCCATCGCTGAGAGCGGTGTACGCGTGGGGCGTCCACGGCTGCAGCAGGTTGGGGCAGCGCAGAGCCAGGTCGCCCAGGGCCACCATGGCGTTGGCGCGCACAGAGGGGTGCGGATGGGTGCGGAGGAGTGTGAAGAGCAGCTGCAGGTGGGACTCGCTGTGGGTGGGGAAGGAGGGGGGAGAAGGGAGGAGAGGAGTTGAGTCAATGTGAGTTAAGGTGCGTCAGGGTGCGTCAAGGTGCATCGAAGGTCGTCAAGATAATTCAGAGTGAGAAAAGTTGAGTCAAAGTGAGTGAGTCAAGCTGAGTCACGGTGAGGAAGGGAAGCTCACCATGTTGACTTTTGAGTCGACTCAAAAGTCAACTGAGTCAAGCTGAGTCACGGTGAGGAGGGGAAGCTCACCAGAAGTGGCTGTTGATGGCCATGAGCTTCGACAATGAGAGCATGGCGCACACATACACCATGTTTGAGACGGCTTAAAACAAGGTGAACTGCGGGGGAGTCAATACGAGTGAGTCAAGGTGAGTGAGGACAAGTGAAATGCTCACCAGAAGTGGCTGTCGATGGCCATGAGCTTGGACAATGAGAGCACGGCGCACACATACACGCTCTGACTCGCTGCAAACTCCTGAGGCCGCCTGCACAGCGCCGAGACGAACCATGCCACCCGCCCCACCAGGTACTCCCTCCCCTCGCCCCGCCTCCTCTCCAGCCCCTTTTCCATGGCCACTATCTCCCCCTCCACCTGCTCCTGTAGCGCCTCTAGCTGCGCCTCTGCTGTCACTGCCGTCCCAAGCTCCTCCCCCATCTTATCCTCCCTTCCCCCGCCCTCCCCTCCATCACCCGCTGGCCCCTCTTCCTCCTCCCTCACATCCACACTCTCCTCTCCCGCCTCCTCCTCCTCACTCTCGTATTCATATGTTGCAGGGGTGGCAGCGACGCTTCTCCTCTTCCCTGCCCCAGAGACTGTACTCTTCCGGCCAGTGCTCTTCCTGCCTGCCTTAGGCTTTTTCCCGGTCAGGCTGGCCTCCATGGCTTCGGCAGCAGCTTCAGCCTCTGCTTTTTCCTTTGCTGCCCGGGCTGCCCGGATGCGGCGCACGAGCCTCTCCACGTGGACCAAGTGCTCTAGGGCAGCCTGCCCGGTCACAAAAACGAAAGCTGAGAGCTTTGCAGCGTCAAATCTCCTAAGGGAAGTCTCAAAACCTCTCTCACTCAAACCACCAGCTGTAGCTGCAGCAGCAGCAGCAGTTGGACCAGCAGCAGGGAGACCAGCACTGTCAGCACCATTATCAGCACCACTTGCACTAGTGCTCGGAGCATCAGCGTCAGAATCAGCACCAGCAACAGCATCAGCATCCCCATTGCTGCTTGTCATTCCCTCCTCCCCACTCGTTCCTGTACCATTTTTGTCCTCGTTACCGGCCTCCCCACTACCATCAACAACACCACTCACGCAACTTCCCTCCCTCCCCTCACCCTCCCCTCCTCCCCCACCTCCCCCTCCACCCCCTACAGCAACACCCTGTCCAAACATCCCCTTTACAAGCTTCTTCAGCAGCACGCCACAGTACCTCTCCGGCGCAGGATGCAGCACATAAACCGCCCTCACCGCCTGCTCTATCACCCCGTACCTCGCCCTTTCGGGCAGATCCAGCGAGCTGCCTGAAATAACCCCCTCCAGCAGCGCAAACACCCGGTGCCCTGCCCCCATTTCCTCCCGAACCTCCGCAGAAACCCTTTGCAGGGCGATACAGGTGTAGAGAGCAAGCAGAGGGTCGCTCTGAGCCCGCCTGCCTAGGCCTATGGCGAGGAGCGCGCTCAGATGGTGGTTGAGGATTTCCGGGCGGGTTTTTGCCGCCATGGAGAGGAGGATCAGCGCGCCTGTGCTCTCTGCTGACGTGGCTCCGGGCAGGTTGAAAGTGAATATGTCCCACAGGATGGTCACCTGGTGGAGGATATGGGTGAAGGGGAGAGGAGAGGAGGAAAGAACGAATGATTCAAAGGTTCAAAACAGCAATAGAGACATTATGAAACACCAAGACGAGAAGATTCAGTGGAAACTGCACCGTAGCTCCCTGTTTGTTGTGCTGTCTATTTGACCTGCCATTCCCAAGTCATCCCCAGCACCAAATTGGCCCCGCAATCCTCCCCTTCCATCTCATCGCACCATTTGCATCTTGGCGTCCACCAGCACGAACGTTGTGCACGAATGGCCCACCAGCACCTCCGGCGCTGCCAGGTCGCCAGAAACATTTCCCCCCACTCGAGAGTCATTCTCATCTTTGCGACTTCACTAACTTCCATTCTCATCTCACCAAACTCCCATTCAACATCATTCGTCTCACTCACCATCTGCATGGTGACGTCTCCGTTGTGCACGAACGTGCCCACCAGCACCTCAAGCGCCGCCAGGTCAACAAAGACATATGCACTCACACGTCATTCTGCTCATCTCACCATCTGCATGGTGACATCCCCGTTGTGCACGAACGTGCCCACCAGAACCTCCAGCGCCGCCAGGTCGCCAGAGGAGGCGCCGTGCGTGAGAGCCACGAGGCTGCGCGCTGCCTGCTGCGATGAGCGCCCCTTCACGTGCAGCTCCAGCACCGCCGCCTCCACTGCTGCCCGCACAGCAGGGTCGTGAGAGAACACCTGAGGGGTAAGGAGGAACCAGAGAGGGGCAGAGATTGAGGCGCTGGGAGCTGCCTGCTGCGCTGAGCGCCCCTTCACGTGCAGCTCCAGCACTGCCGCCTCCACCGCTGCTCGTACTGCTGGGTCGTGCGAAAAGACCTGAATAAAAATATTGGAAAAGAGAGGAGAGGGGCGAACCGACAGGGTTAGGAAGGCCAGAGAGGGCAGAGATGGATGGGATTGTCAGCTGCCTTCCCCACCCCAACTCATCTCACCAGCGGCAGGATCTTCCTGAGCCGCTATACCCTTTCCACCCAGCCTACCCATCCACTCCCCACCCCATCCACCCCCTTCCCCTCTAGCGCATATCTCACCAGCGGCAGGATCTTCTTGAGCCTCTCACTCGCCCCATCCACGCGGAAGTGCTGCAGCGCCGTGAGCAGCAGGATCGCGCCCTCCACGTCCGACACGGCGCTCGACCCCAGCAGCGCCGCCAGCACCCTTTCAAATGCCCTCCCCTCTTCCTCCTACCATCTCTCCCAACTCAACCCTTCCCCACCCAACCCCTATCCCCACCCCATCTACTCCCCACCTTTTCCCACGCTCATATCTCACCAGTGGCAGGATCTTCTTGAGTCGCTCGCTCGCCCCATCCACGCGGAAGTGCTGCAGCGCCGTGAGCAGCAGGATGGCGCCCTCCCAACCATCTTTCAACTGCCATCCCTCTCTTCCCCCTACCATCTCTCCCCACTCCACACTTTCCCCCCCCACCCCCACCCCCACTCCCACCCATCCACTCCTCACCTTCCCCACACTCGTATCCCATCTCACCAGTGGCAGGATCTTCTTGAGTCGCTCGCTCGCCCCATCCACGCGGAAGTGCTGCAGCGCCGTGAGCAGCAGAATCGCGCCCTCCACGTCCGACACGGCGCTCGACCCCAGCAGCGCCGCCAGCGCGCCCGTGACGGCCGCCAGCAGGCGGCAGAACTGCAGCCCCGCGCTCAGCGACGCCACCAGCGTGCGCGTCTGCTCCACCCCGAACGCCCGCCCCAGCACCGCCTTCCCTGCTGCCCCTGCTGCGCCTGCTCCGCCCGCTGCTCCTGCTGCGCCTGCCACGCCTGCTACCCCAGCAGCTCCGTCTGGAAGCCCCTCTGCAACACCACCAGCAGCGCCTCCTGCCTTGCCTCCCTCTCCCTGTCCCTCCCCATCTCCCTGGGTGGCCTGGGAGTCCACCCAGCTATCATCGCCCACACCTCCTTCAGAATCCCCCACCACCCCCACTTCCACCGCTGCAGCCGCTGCTCCTGCCCCTTCATTTCCTGCACCCTCCATCCCCTCGCCCTCACCCTCTCCATCACCGTCACCCTCGCCTCCTTCCCTGGCCTCCTGCTGCTCGGCGCGCCGGCGGCTCTCCTCCATGGCTGCCAGCTCGACGCGCGCCTTCTCCAGGGTGACCTCGAAGGGCGCCACTCGCAAACTCGGGCCGAACGGGTTCTGGTGAAGCATCTCGCCCAGGAGCTGTTGGGAGGGGTTGGGAGTGGTGGAGAGGGGTGTGCGGGAACATGAGTGAGACGAGCCTTTTCCGGGGTGACCTTGAAGGGGCTTACTCGCAAACTCGGGCCGAAGGGGTTCTGGTGAAGCATCTCGCCCAAGAGCTGTTCGCAGGGGCTGGGAGTGTTGGAGAGCGGTGGAGAGAGGTTTGAAGGGCACGATTACCATGAGCGAGACGAGCCTTTTTTAGAGTGACCTCAAAGGGGTCCTTTGGGAGAGTGGTGGTCGAAGAGTGGACGGAAAACACACCCGTGCAAGCAGGTGTGAGTACGCATACGGGTGTGGAGGCATCAGCCAAACGACCCCTTCACCTCTCACCTGCAACGCATTCTTCCTGACTAGCGACGACTTGTCCTCCAACCGCCCCACCGCCAGCTCCGCCACCGCGTTCCAGTGCCCCAGCGGCACCGCCTTCTCCCCGCACAGCCACGCCCACGCCTGCATCACGCGGCTGCGCACGTGCGCGGACTGGTCGCGCGCGCGCTCCATCAGCACCGCCAGCAGCCCCTGCTTGCTCCGCAGCCGCTGCAACCGCGCGCGCATCGCGCCCCTCGCCGCGGGGCCTTCCTCCTCCGCGCCACCCGCGGATTCCCTTCCGCCCTCCCCGTCCTCGTCCCCTTCCGCTCCTTCCCCTTCCGCGCCCCCGTCTCCTGCCGGGGGCACCGCTCCGCCAGCGTCGGCGGAGTAGAGGCGCGCGAGGAGGCGGCTGATGGCGGTGACGATGGCGCAGCGCAGCACGGCGGACTCCCCGTGCTCAAGGTGCGGGACGAGCAGCGGCAGGGACGCGGCGAGCAGGCGGGGCTGCTTGTTGGCGAGGGCGATGAGGAACTCCGCCACCTGAGGGTATGCGGCACGTGGGCATGGGGGACACGAAAGACGTGAGAGAAGTGAGGGACATGAGAAAACTGAGGAGCGTCGCGAAGGTGGATAACGTGAGTGAAAAAAATAAGAACAAGTGTCAAGTGGGAGAGAATTTGTGAGAACAAGTGTCTGGGGATGCGAGCAGGCGACGCTGCTTGTTGAAGGTCAAGGAACTCGGGGATATAAGGCGTTGCAGAATGACCATGTGCAGCAGTAGGCAGGTCAGAATACCCGCCAACTGCACCACCCCGTGCACGCCAGTGTTCCTTCGGCTGTACCCCCTTCAGCCTCGTTCTCTCCACGCCCTGCCTATTAGTTGAGGCACGCAGGATGGAAACAAACTCGAACCGAAGCCGCGGAACGCGGACTCACCTCGTGCACGCCGCTGTTGGCGCGGCTGTACTCCTTCAGCCCCGTCCTCCCCACGTCCTGCAGAACCGCCGCAGCCAGGCTCGCCTGCCCCAGCTGCTCATCCGCGTACACCACCACGTCCGTGACTATATCGGGGGAGTGCTTCTGGTGGTGCAGCAGATGCAGCAGCCCAGATACCACCTGCACCAGGTACCCCTGCTTCACGGCGCACTGCGCCACGATTTGCACGAGCGGCGCGCGCACATCCCCGTTCTTGAGTAATTCGGCATCTTCAAAGAGCGTGAGCGCCAGACTGCAATAAGCTTCCATAAGGCTCTCTTCTGGCGCGGAGCCGTGGTAAAGAGAGCTGAGCTTAACGGATGTGGCTGTAGCGAGCGCCTTGAGCACCTTGGGCATTTGGCGCTGCCACTCCCACGAGTGCGACACCACCGCCTTCTTCCGCGACTGGCGACCCCCCTGAGGAGACAATTGAGGAAGGAACGAGGAGGGACCGAGGAGGGAACAAGGAACGAGGACGAATAGATGCAGATGAGGTGAGGTTATTGTTGGTCTGTGATCGCTTCGAGCCTCGCAGAAAACATTTCAAGTTCAGGATTTCATCAAATTACCTTTTGAGAAGGACGGTCGGCATTTTCAGTCGCCTTGGCAAGAGCTGCGTGCTTGACGATACATGCGAGGAAGTAACTGTAAATCTTGATACAGTTTCTGTAGGATCTGATAGACGGCCCTGACGTGGACACGTCAGTGTCAGCCGCTGACGTGGAGGAGCTGCCGGAAGACGATGCCAGGAATGCCGCGATGGATGGAACGAGGCAGCTGAGATTCGTCGCCAAGGAGTCGATCAGAAGGTCCTTGGACGAGGCATCCAGCTGGTCAAAGTACCTGCAGAGAGTTTACAGTGGGGTGCGAAAGAGGAGATATGAACATGATAGCGTTGGAGATGTTCTGTGGATTCAATAAAACGGGTTAGGAGTTGAAACCTAGCGAGTCAGAAAGAAACGGAAGGAAAGAAACGGGCGTATGTGGCCCGTTTTGCCTACTATGCCTGGGTGACGTACTTGACAGCCGAGTATAGTTTGTTGAATGTCTCTTGCTCCTGCACGCAGAAAATATCCTTTTCTCCGAGCTCACGCGAGATTTCTGCACGAAAAATACCGCAGTACCGTCAGAATAATAGCGAACAAGCACCTTCAAATAGTAGCTGGAAAGAAAATTTCGAGTCTGTGAAGGTGGACGATCTATGCTGCCAGCTTCTACCAGAAAATTAGTACCTCTGACAAGGTTGGGCTCGATCGCCGCTTCTGCTACATCTGTGGCTTGAAGACACCCTAAGGACTCGTCGTCATTCTGCTCGAGGTCATCCAGATTTTTCGGAATCCTAAACTCCATGCTCACGGAATTTCTCCGGCCACACGACTACGGGGTGTTCCTCTTTGACAAAGCGAGTCTGACTTCTAATGTCCTGCACGAGAGGTGCAACGCTACTGCCTTATACTCATTACGCGGTAGTCCAGCCCTTGTTAATTTGGCAGTCGAAACCTGATGAAAGGAAAGCACAGCCTGAGTGACAATGGTTGACTAGACTTGCTGTTTCCCATAATTACCTTTTGAATGGCTGACCTGCTTGCAAGTTCGATCAGTCACAGAAAGAAAGGGAGCGCCGCACTGAAACAGCCTGAATCAGATGGAACCGTTTACAACCGTGCCATCCCAGGAACTGAAACACAGGCATCCAGCGAGTCGCAGTGAACTGGAAACCTTGGGATCCCCAGCAAACAGAATTGCCTCGTGTGGTTTGCTCTGATTGGTGGCAGGCAGACCCTAGGACCAGGCTTCAGGAATTTGGCGGGAAATGTTTTCAAATTCGTCAGACCTTCTGACCCACCTGAAACTGGCGGGAGTCCCGATGGTATGTGCTGCTCTTCTAGATAATGTCACGAACTCAACAACTTATACATTCCGCTGGAGTCATTTCCCAGTCGAAATACGCAATAACGAGCCACAAAGGCTTTCCCCCAACTGAGCTGAATGGCGTAAGCAAAAAGGTGGAGCAAAAGCAGAACCAGTAATTGTGACGCCGATTAGTACTTGGGCCGCTGGGGCATTATCCTGCTCTTCACCTCGTATCGCGTCTGTATGCGCGCCTGCAGTTATGATCTTGACGGATCCGACTGTCGTCAGCCAAGGGCGGCACTTGGTGGCTCTTGGGAGCCAAACAATGGCTGGGAAACATGGTTATGCACGCACGAATGACGTTATGCGAGCTCTTAGACCCGTGCACTCTAGGCCTAAGCTGAAAACCTGGAGACCTGATACACGGCGGACGACCCAGAAGTATCGACACTACTCGCAAATCGTGATTGATTCATGAATGCTCGCGCATCCTTCTTGGTCTCATCCCAGCATTTTTTTCCGAAAAGTTACTTCAGGCTCCCTTGGCGGTCTTGTTCCAGTACTGATCTCCTTCCCATTGTGGAACCCTAGTGTTCTTGCTGGTGTGTCCTAATTTCGTTGACATGGCCAGCCCAATACATGCTTCAGGGCCTGCGAGATCCCTCCCATTATCACTCAGAATATCACCTCCTATCCCAAGACCAAACTCCGTTGCATCAGACGGGCGGATAGCATTCTCCTACGTGGCGACAACGCTACATAGGGCAGCACAGGGAGTCATACGAGTGGTCGTAGCTGCACTGCAGGCGTTGAACGCGAGGTTCCGGGGAGTACCCATTTGGATTCGCGAGCCCATACTGCTGTGTGTTGTTGTGCTGCTACTGTCTGTCTCTTTGGTCGCGGCCTTTGTCTCTGGCATGGGGATGCCTGGGTAAGATTATGTCTATTGAGGACACAGCCACAAGTATGCGTTTCATTCTTCTTTTCTCCAATCCTTCCGCTCACTTGTTTTTTTTCCTCTCTATTTTCAGGGACTATTCGCCAGTTTCTATTGCTATTATGAGGAAGGCTGTGCATCATCATTCGCCAGCAGCTGCTTCCTATGCTGCATCGTTATCTGAAGCTGTATGCGGGGGCTCTCGTGTTTGTGCAGCTAGATTCGCAGTTCAGGCATGGCTGCAAGCATCAGCAAGTGAATGTGGTGATGATTGTGTTGTGATAAGAATGGAACCTCCTGGAAACTCTCTGAATCTGTGGGTTCATTTCAGGACAGGCACTAGGGGAATTGAACTTGGGGTATCCTATATTGTAGCTCTGATGGTTGTAGCCTTTGGTGCCTTCCTGGTCCACTTCATGTCGGTTGGGTTTCCATAATAAAAATATGCGTTAATCCTTGTATTTCTGTGGAATTATAACGAAGTTGCATGTATGGTGTTGTTTTTTTGTTGCTGTAAGGAATTTTCTCAGGCATTCCTTACGGAGCCGACTACATCGCGTACAGCAACAGCCGACTGTTCGCCCGTTACTGCTAACGGAACTTCGCCGACTTCGCGCGCACTGTTTTGCCAAACCTCGCACTGCTGGCATGGCCGTATCGGCCTACGCTTCGGGACTAGCCCGAGCCTCGCTCCAGCGTAGCACTAGCAAGTTCGCACGCACCGCGTTACCGTTTTGCATGTTTCGCGTATAAATGCTCGCTCATGCCTTCGCTCACATTTTGTACTCGTTTGACACCTTAGTGCAATTCTCGCTACCTCGATTCATTGCACCCGTAACACTTGGTTATCAGAGCCCCTTTCTTTCGGACCGCGCATCTCCGCACACCAGGAAATCAACTTTTGATTTTTCACTCGAAGGGACTCACGCACCTTAGCCCCTAGGAGCCGCTGTCCTCGCGTTCTCTCGTAAACGCGTGCAGCCACGACTGCGCCTAGACTAAGACGAGCCGACGCCCTTCGTCATGGCCGAAAACATCGACGTCACCACTCTCACGCAGGAGCGTTTGAACGATCTGCTGCGACAACTGCACGAAAGCTCCGAGGAAATCGCGGCATTGACGGCAGAACGCTCATCACTGCAAAATGACCTCATGAGAGCACAATCCCAAGCACCTGGCACTCCGATTCAACCTGCACCCTCAACATCACAACACGGGAGTGTGGGGCAACCCGCGAGCGCGGCCAGTGATGGCGTCGTCCGCCCCGACGGAGACGACGACCACGGCACGACACACCCCAGAGCGACGCCTGCGGCCCCAAGTCAGCCTCGCGTCACGATTTCGGCACCAACCCACGATTCGGGACTGCCGTCACCGATGCCGCTGAAACCGCAGCGCCCGCCATGCTTTGACCCGAGTCAACGGGGTGGTCCTACCGTTCAGGCGTGGTTATTCACAATGAATGTTTTCTTCGACGCCAACTACGTCTCGGAGGACTCGGCGAAGATTCGATACGCCGTGTCGTTGCTGCGAGGACCCGCCATGGACTGGTGGCGCGTCATCGTCACGAAGCCGACCGACTACGCGACACTACCGACACGGGGAGGACAAACCGGACCCTGGGCGCCGTCGTATTTCGTGGAGGTGCCCCATTATCGCACGTGGGACGCGTGGTGCGCAGGTCTGCGCGCTCGATTTGAGCCAATCGCGGCCTCGATCTCGGCGCGACAGAAGCTCCGCACTTGGCGCCAACTCGGTTCCGTCCAGGATTACACGAGCGGATTTCTGGCGCTATGCGAGCAGGTGGGCTACATGCATGAGAGCGAACGCATCGACCGCTACATCGGCGGCCTGAAGCAGGACATCGCTCAGGAAATCCAGCTTCGCGGCGTCACTGAGTTTCAGGAAATTCTCGCTATGGCGGAGAAGCTCGACTTCTTTCGCCGACCGAGACCGGGGTCCTACGGAAACAACACCTGGGGACATCGGCCTCGTGGGACGAACGAGAGCGCCACGATACGCGCCGTCGCCGCAAATGCCGCTGCCGCACCGTTCAAAGGGCGCTGCTTTGCGTGCAATCGGCCGGGACATCGCAAGAGCGAATGCCCGGAAAACGCTAAGGGAAAGGGGGAAGCTGAGCAGCAGACACAGACCAAGCAGCAGGGAAACGCTGGAAGTCAGTAGCAGACGGGCCCTCTACTGACAGGTCACGCCGCTCGCCCGACCCAACCGACCCTCACCGAGTGATTGTGCCGGTTCACGCAATCGACCACACCCGGCCGAATAAGGAGGGTACCACGGTAGATAGCCCTATACTGCTCAGTGGGAAAATTGGGACGGACTTAGTTAAAATCTTCGTAGATGGGGGAGCCAGCCACAGCCTCATTAACACTGCTACAGCACGAAAACTGCGACTGCCACTGGACCGATGCTTACCTGAGATCGACGCACGACTGGTAGACGGCACGCCGCTGACAATACGGGAACGCGTAGATCGAGTTCGGATTCGATGCGGGGGTAACTTCACGTTTAGTCAGGAAATGCTCGTGACGACCCTCGACGGAACCGACATTTTACTCGGGCGTGATTGGCTGCGACGACACAACCCGCGAATTGACTGGACGACGGGTGACTGCACTGTGCGAGTGAACGGTAACAGCATCGCCTTACCTCGCTGGGGCTCGCCTGAGTCTTCGTCGGTGCGTGTCAACGCGATCACGATGAAACGCGCTGTTGCGGCCGGAGCCGACGTGTACGCGGTTGACATTCGGGAAGCCGAGGCAGCAGACAAGGGAGGCGATTTACAGAAACTGCTGACCGACGTACCGAGTGACCTGGCGGCACTGTTACAACAGTACAGTGACATTTTCCCGGATGACCTGCCGACGGGACTGCCACCTCAGCGACCGCACGATCACAGGATAGAACTGGAACCGGGGGCACAGCCAACAGTACAGCGACAGTTCCGACTGACCCAACCCGAACTAGACGAACTAAGGAAGCAGCTCGATTACCTGCTAGAAAAGGAATTCATTCGCCCTAGTTCGTCGCCTTTCGCCGCACCAATACTGTTCACACCGAAAAAGGACGGGGGTTTTCGCATGTGCATCGACTACAGGGCACTGAACAGGGTTACCATCAAATCCCGTTACCCCATCCCACGAGCCGACGAACTGATCGACCAACTGCGCACAGCCCGGGTTTTCTCGAAAATCGACCTCCGAGGAGGCTACCACCAAATCCGCGTCAACCCACCCGACTGCCCTAAAACCGCATTCCGAACACGCTACGGATCCTTCGAATACACCGTCATGCCATTCGGACTGACCAACGCCCCCGCCACTTTCCAAATGACCATGAACGAAGCATTCCGCCCGCTTTTAGATAAGTGCGTCATCGTTTATCTGGACGACATACTGATTTACAGCCCTGACAGAGAACAGCACTTACAAGACATCGAAGCAGTTTTTAAAATCCTGAGTGAGAACCGCCTACTGACCAAAGCATCTAAGTGTGAGTTTTTACAGGACCGCCTGGAGTTTTTGGGACATGTTATTTC